GTGAGTGAGGCACTAATCATTTATTTCCAAACCTGAGAAGCTGAGATTTCCTTAAATTCAAAATTACATGTGTTTGTGCCTGAAACAACATCCGTTCAATGGTTTTAAACTTTAAACACTCTGGCAAACTCTATCATGCAATTGCTTTCTTCACTAATAAGATAAATCCATATAAAAATAATTAACTAAATTTATAATAAAGTTCTGATATAACGCGCGCTGTCATTGATTGAAAGAGCGTGCTTTATGAGAGTTTGTAAAATGTGAAGAGAAATGCACGCGTTGTGATTGGTCAGAACGAGTTCATTATATTTTCATAAAGCACGCACCTTACGTCACACGAGTGCACTGTTGAGATATAATTCACGCAGCCTACGTCATCGGTAAGAGCGCGCGCTCAGTGGAAGGCCACATCAGTCACTGCAGCCGAGTTTTACGGCGCTGCCATCCCGAGCAATCTTCATTTTCAGTAACTTCAGCTGTCGTTCGATGATAAAATATACGCTTGAACAGTTTGTTTTCTAATTGCCATGTGAAAAAAAATGCGTGTTTTTATGAGCCACAATTCGGCCGGATTTCACTGAATATTTCACTCTCAGATCTGTATCAGAGACTGAAAACTTCAGGCAAAAGTGCTAAATTCGACCTGCCGAACTATTAATTTTGTAAACTATTGCAGAATGTGAACTTTGATGGTTTGACATTTTTGACAACTTCAAAAATAATTTATTCAAACCCAATAAGTGACATTGCACTGTGCGTTCGGTCAAAACAACCGCGTACAATCAAAACAATAATATGCAATGATATTTTCACATCTTTAAGGCGCAAGAAAGTTCAAAGCCCAGCTAAACAGTTCAAGGAATTGTTCAGTCTGGTTTGTTACTTCTTTGCACTGAATTAACCCTCTTCTGCATTGAATTACCTGAAAACTGCATTCATCTTATCCAATCAGAACTGAGTGATTTTTTCATGTACCTTATTAGAACCATCATGACAGGGATTCTGATTGGCTTATTGTAACGTGCTTTATGAGAGTAAAGAGCATGCTGACAACACTGTTGTTCGCTTTGGAAATAAAGTTTGTTTTGAAAATTGAAAGTAATGCGTAGGGAATTTCACGGCTTCTTTATTATAAAACAAATAGAGTAGCCATGACTGTGCTCTGATCTGTTGTAAAGCACTTAGAAAGCGGCTACGTCTCGTGTTTCTCCCCGCACTTCCATCGTGCTTTAGCCGCTTCCTGCGTGCTTCACAACAGATCAGAGCACAGTCTGTTAATTAAACTCTATCTGTTAACAGGAGCCCATTACCAGAGTAATGGGCTCCTGCTGTTAATTAAACCCTATCTCTATCTGCTAATTAAACTGATGAAAAAATGAATTAGAATTCGCCATAAAAGCTTTTTACGGTTCCTCAGGATTTTTTAAAAAGCTGCAAGGAGCCTGTGACCTGTAGCCCATACACATCTTACAAATCACTAGATATATAATATTTATTTAAGAACTTATCGGTCCGCAATGCGTAGGTAAGCGCCTGGTCAGAACGAAGCTTACGGATCAGTAGCTTATAGTGTTTATAGTGACTCTTAATCCATATAGTAGCCTCTTCTGCCCACCATAATCTGTTGTGGTCAAGAAGATTTATAGAAAAAGCAGTCAAAAATATTTCGTGCTGTGCACGTATGGTGTATTTTACCGCTGATTTTTCAGCTTGATTATTTCCAACTCGCGCACCGCCGAGAAAAAGTACCGTTTGTATCTTACTCGCGAGCGAGGAGAGCGTGAGGCCAGCGTTCCTCGCCTCTTGACTTGCGTTTTTCTCGCGATTGATGTAAACAAGACGAGAAAATAAAATAATTTGAACCTACCCGATGAATCTTAAATTACTAAATCCATCTTGATGGAAAACAAATGTTTAAATACAACTAAGGCGTGCCAAAATGCACCAATGACAGCTAACCATTATTCCATCATGCAACATAAGTATTGACGTGTAATCATTCGACCTCATCGCCTGACTAAGCCGACGTTAAGCAGAGCATAGCAGTCCAAACGTCACGATCTGTAATTCGCAGTTTGATTCTACAATCAAAGATCACTATAAATCGTAAGAAAAACGATTTACCATTCATTTATGGAGTTTATCCTTTTCGGTCACAAAAAGTCTGTGTTCAAATGTGAGCGTCCGCTGTACGAAGGACAACTATTTAGAAAGGTCAAGCCTTGAGCGAAATCTGACCATAATAATCATGGCTATGATCCAAAATTGCGCAACATGGAAAGAGCTCTTGACGGAACAACAACAAAATTTGATATACTTGATTACTTAATTTGTCATTTAAAATAAGATACTAAGTCACAAGAAAAACCTTTTGACCTCTGTCTGCGTATATTCGAATACCTCGGGCATTAGTCATGAGATTGAAATAGTGTTTGTTCCCGAACACAAAGCAGGCAGCTTTCGCTTCATCCCATCCCGTTTCTCTTTCTCTCTAAAGTATTTGACTCGTTACCAAGACTCAGAGATTTCTGTAGTTCCGAACGACTTCGAACTCTTAATTGTAAAGGTGAGTAAATACATTCCCTTTTGTTGCCTGTTACTTGCCCAACCAGAACAGTAAATTGATAAACCGACTATTTTCCCTCGCTCGCTATGCGGCGTATCCAGCTTAAATATTGTAAGTTAATTAGGAGATACACCTAAATATCAACGATCTGCGAGACAGAGAAGTATTCCTTCACATCTTGGGCCAAAAATAAAAGCTCATCGTTAACATTTTATTTGAAGCAACCAAACGATTCATTTTTATCTTGAAGGGGGGGGTTGAGGTATTTCCTGAAATGACTCACATGGGGAGGCTCCAGGCTTCAGCTTTTTTAAAGGGTTACGGAATCTGTCGGTTTGATATTCAAAAGTAGGTTTAAAAAAGGCACAAATGTTTTTGTGGAAAGTGTACGAAAAGGATGCCTCTTCTACAGTTGTAACAGTGAGTAAGGTGTCGGACCTCAACGGGAATCTAATCATCTTGAACTTCTTAGAGCACCCCCGGTTTTGGTACCGCCGAGAGCAGTTTCCTGGTGGTATTGCATCCTTACCACTTTTTTCCTCAAACATTTAACATTGTCGTTGTAGCCAGACCCTGCGGAAGTTGTGTTACACAAGAGAAGAATTCATTCTCGTTGCCTATCTTCCGCCTCGACATAGGCAAGAGAAGGTAAGTTATTTCGGCGTTTTATCTGGATCACATATTAGTTGAGTCAATGCTGTCCAAAACTGTAAAACGTTTAAGAACCGTTGGATCTCAAAGTGGAGTTTACCCGTATAGAACGTTTATTTCGTTAGTAACCTACCCCTTCCCTCAGTTGTAGATGCCTAAGCTTTACCAAATTTTGCTTCTAACTCTAAATACGTTGTTGTTTCACTCCTTCGTAGTGGAAGCTGGTGTAAACGATAGGGAAAGTTCACTTCGATTCAGGCAAGAAAAGGTAAGAAATCTCTGCGCTTTATTTGGACAACATATTTGCACGTTTGTCGGATCATAGTGTAAAAACTGCTGTCGGAAATTAATAGCATTTGAGAAGGGAACGAGTCGACGGTACGCACGAAAGTGGTAGAAGTAGTTCGAACAAAAACCTTAATACAACTTATCAGCTGAAATCGAGCCTGTCCGCCTATAGGGGAGTTTAAAATGTTCGCGATTGTGCTACAGTTGATATATTCTGATTGAACCGAACTTTTACGCCCTAAAGCTCAGCTTGACATTCTACACCGACAAGCAGAAAGAGGATATGATCATTTGTTTATTGGATCTCCCCATACCATACTGACGCAAAATTTTATTAGAACTGTTGTGTCTCCTCAAATTAATTACTAAAAGACTCCAATGGTTGTAAACTATCAGTCATCGGTCTTTGCTCTCATGCTAATCCAAAATGTTACTCAACGAACTGTTCGCAAATATGGAAACCAAAAGTTGGGGCTGGTGTGGACGAAAAAGGGATTGGGGCGAGACGAGAAAGACACTGACTCGTTCCAGTTTTACGTTTACCATCCTTAAATGCTAAATAGCCAGCCAAGGTTGACTTATTTTACATTCCAGAATAGTTGCATGATGCCTCGAGTACTACTTCGTAGATCTAGACCAAACACAAATTCCTCGTCGTTAAGATCACGTAGCAAAGATAAATCTGTTCGGTTCTGATTTAAGGCACCTTTTTTGCGAAAAAAACAACAAACTTTACTGATTTTTCCGCACAGGGGCTCAAAGTGAATAGTTTGATCGGTGATTTTACAAAGAGTACTCACTTCACGTCACTCTGAGCTCTTGACGGCTCTTCGTGGTATTTTCTTTAGCTGTAATTGTTCCCTAAGCAGTCGAAGAATTGCACAATGTGTTTACATCAATATTATTGTTATTGGTGTTCTTTTTGTGCATCAGCTGAGCGCAAACCATGCACCTAGAGCATCAGTCACTCAAGTCAATCATTCTGCTCATACACTAAGCAGCGTTCTGAGGATTTGCGCAGATCCCAGCCTGCAGATCTTTTGAATCTCCGTCACAGTAGCTGCTTCTGATACTTTCTTTATGTTTTCCACCATCCCATTCTTTACATGTACCAAGCGCACCAACAACCACAGGGATCACTACGGTTTTCATAAGCCACATTCTCTGTATTTTTAGTTCTAGATCTTTGTACTTGCTTTTCTTTTTCTTTTCCTTCAGAGCGATGTTTCAATCTGATGGAACAATTATATCAATCAGTTTGTAGGGGGAATTCACTGAATCTTTAACTACGATGTCTAGTCTGTTCGCTGTTATAACTCTGTCAGTATTCACTGACATATCCCATAATGGGGTGATGTTGTTGTCTTTATAGTGCATCACAGTCTCTGGCTCATGTCGACACCATTTGTCTGTAATCTCGATATCGTGATCTTTACAGATGCTCCAATGGAGATACGCAGCAGCATTATTGTGCGTGGAGATGTACTCTGTTCTAAGCCTCACATCCGGATACAGTATGGTCCAGCTGTCTCTTCATATTGCGAACACATTCTGCATTTGCTGTCATTTGCTGGCCTCCTATTACTTTCTGGTAGTTTCTGGTGTTTACTGCCCGGTCTTGAGCTGCGACAAGCTGTCCCTCTGTTTTTTCTTTCAGATTACTTGACAACCATTTGTTGGTGGTGACTGTGTCTGCTTGAGGCTTCTCTAGAATCCTGGGATACTGGCCATACAATGTTTTAATTTCCACTTTTCTTCTTTTATGGATTTCATCTTAAACTTGAATATGTGTTTTAGGGCCTTAGCATTTTCCGAGGCTGATTTTTCTTCTCTGTTCTCAAACTCTGGCAGTTATTTCCCTTTTGAACTTGGTAGCATTCTTGGACATTGAATTTTTGGCTTTATATCTCTCATGTTCAAGCACCTGCTTTGGATAATGCCCTTCTTTGTGCCTCAGATAATGATTGATCCCTATTGTAACTGTTTTGAATGCTGTTTCTACTTCAATCAGGCCCCTTCCTCCATCTTTTCCTGAGATGTACAGCCTTTCCACATCTGCTTTAGGATGTAACATCTTGTGCATGTTCAAAAGTTTGCGTGTTTTTGAGTCAATCTTCTTCAGTTCGCAGATTTTCCAGTCAATAATACCAAAAATATAACGCCCAACTGAAAATGCAAGGCTATTGATAGCTTCCATCTTGTTTCTCCCATTGAGCTAATTCTTAGGATCAATCTTACTCTCCTGTTATATTTTTTCTTATCTTCTCTTTCATTTTGCTATGCTGGATACCATCACTTTCAACTACACCCAGGTATTTATTTGCCCCTTCCTGGTCCAACTCTTGTATTTCTGTGTCCTTATCTATTACTATATTTCCAGTTGAGGTCAGTCTACCTTTCTTGAAACTGGCTATGGCACATTTCTCAAGGCCAAATTCTATACGGATATCATCATGGAATTGTTTCACTATTTTCAGTTCTTCAACTTGTTCTTGCTCGTTCTTGCTGTACAATTTTAGATCATCCATACAAAAACAGATTGTTGATTGGAGCACTTGTGTTTTTGATCTTGTAACCATACCCAGATGTAGCCAACTCTGATGGTAAAGGCACAGCTGAGCCAGGCAAGATAGCAGAGGTGAGAATGAATCTCCTTGAAAGACCCCTCTTTGGATCTTTATCTGATCCGTTATGATACATCCATCATTTTAAGATAGCGTCATTGTAGTTTTCCAGTTACTCACTGATTAGTTTTTCATTAAATCTGTACATCTGTAAGGTCTGTACTATCCAACTATGAGGGGCACTGTCATAGGCATACCCAAGTTCTTTTTCTTCTTTTTGCAGTCTTCTATGATCATTTTTTTTATTAGGAGTTGATCTTTGCATCCATATGAATTCTAGACACAACCTCTCTCTTCTTCCGGTAATGTATAATCCTTTGTGTTATGGGTGTAGCTTCTTTCGGATAAAATCGATGTGAGCACCTTGTAGGGTGTTGATAAGCAGGCAATTGGTCTATAGGTTTTGGGGTTCTCTGTGTCTTTGTTCTTTGGTATTAAGTATGTTTGTGTTGTTGTGCACCAGTCAAGCAGATTTTAGGGGTTTCCTATTGCTTGGTTATATGCATTCAGTAGGTGTTGATATAGTGCTGTGAGTTGTTTGGGCCAGACGTTAGTAACCACATCAGGACCCGGTGACTTCCAGTTGCTTGTTTTCTTTAGAGCGGTCTCCAACTCATCTAGGCTTATATCCTCCCATAGTTGGCATTCTGTTTCTGCTCCTCTCTCTTTATCCACTCTGCTAAATGGTTGTACTCTATTGTTCTTCAAGATGGAACACCAACATGTTTCTGTTGCTTCTTTCTTAAGTGGTTTTCAACTGACATCTGTTCTTTACCAAGGTTTCTGACGAACTTTTTTCTATGTTTGCAAACATCTGGTTTTGACTGAATTGTTTACTTCTTTTTACATGTTTCCTGATTCTTTGGGGTTTTGCTTGAATTTTCATTTTGAGGTATCCTGTTACTGTTTGCAGTTCTTGGTTTGTTGTTATTTTGTATTTAATTTTAATTCGTTGTTTTTTCTTGGAGATCTTTTGGGTTTCACCTTTCTGTGCCAAATCTGTTAGTATCGACAGCTCAGCTCTCATGCTTTTATTCTGATTCTCTTTTCTTGTCTTCCATTTTAGTCTTAGCTGTTTACTACTTTTTGTCTTTAGGATTTTTGGCATTTTACCCATCATTTCAGATATTACCTTCGCAGTCACATATTGTATTATGTTGATGTTATTGAGGTTGAGTACCTCTTCTGCTATTACCTGCTGAATTGCTTAGTTTGCTTGTTTGATCAACAGTTTCACTTTTCTGTTCATTGATATCTTGGGTAGAAGGGACCCCTCTGTCATTCTGATGTTTTCCCATTCAGTCCTTGCCCAGCTCTTAATTTCTTTAGCTAAGTCTTCGATCTCATATGGATTATAGGATGGTCCTACCTCATCTTCATTTTGTTACCTCATAAAGATTGTTGGCTTTTTCTTCAAACGCATCATCTACTACGCTATCTATTTCGTTGTTTTGTACGGTCAATTAATTTTCAATCCGTTGCTTGATGTTATCTAGCTCAATCCTTGTTAGTTTGTTTTATTTTTCAAAAGATCTTCGTTGGCTCATCACCGCGTTCTGTATGTATCTTTTGTTACACCTTCACTGGGGCTTGTCTTTGCCTTATATTAGCAAAACATGACTTCAGTGAAATCCTCTCGTGTCCATTTCTGTCTGGTGTTTGTTCTTTTTGTGTTTCTACTTACCCGATCTGGTGAGGAAGGACCCTCTTGGGAGAGACTCTCAGTTGGGTTGGCCGCCACTGCAGGTGGAGGGGGTAGATCAGTAGCCAATTTTTCGACCTCAGCCTGACCACTCACTGAAGGACGCGCTCCTTGATGACCCGCACGACGGGCGATGCGGTATGAATTCCTTGTATTTCTACTACTCATATTGGTGAAGATGCTATTTGACCCATAGCCGAAGAGAGGTTATCCCGCGCCAGATCTCAACTTGGTATTTCTAACCCTCGCGGTTTTATCATTACTATTATTATTATCATTATTGTTACTTCTAACACCGATATATATACTCTTGGCGAAATAAGACTCGAGGTAGCTTCCGTTCTTGCCGGCCGGCATATGTGTGCTCATTCGCACGCAAGAAAATATGACTTCCCTCTACAGAAGCTTCTCTGTTCCAATGAAACACGGACCTTAGCTCAAATCTTGACTCCAGTCGTTCAAAGTTTTGATTCAAGGGAAGGATTGTAAAGAGAAATTAGAACCTTGTCACTCTTAGGGATTATAGGGTTAAAGCGCCATTAGATTTGTTTTTGTTTATTTGTACTAGGCGGCCATCTCGATTGCTCGCGTTCACGTTCTTGTAGTAAAAATAATCATCCTCTTTATTGTACAGAATTCTTTCTAAATATCTACTGTTTGAGAATAAATATGGCTTAGAAAGAGAACTCGGTCGAAACACCAGTGGTTGGATAACTGTGGCCTATCTTTAAAAGACGTGATAACCGTTGTGTTCTCTCGGCATAATCGAGGCGTAACGTATAACGTGTGAAACAAGCTGGATATGTCACGTGCGCGTTTGTGAAAGGCTCGAAGTTATAGGCGAAGAGAGTTCTCACGTGTAGCTAAACGCGACGCATGAATCATCAGCGTATGTATTTGAGCCTGTTTGAAGAATGCATTTGGCATAATGAAAGTACTGCTTAGATCCTACCCGCGAGCGAGGGGAGCGTGGGGCCCTCGTTCCTCGTCTCTTGACTTGCGTTTTTTTGTGATTAGCGCCAAAAAAAAAAAGGAGAAATTTGAATCACCTGAGGAAACTTAAATTACTAAATCCATCTTGATGGAAAATAAACGTTTAACTATAACTAAGGCGTGCCAAAATGCATGCAGCAATGACGGTTAACCATTATCCTATCATGCAACATACGTATTGACGTGTAATCATTCGACCTCATTGCCTGACTAAGTCGATGTTTAGAAGCAGTTCAAACGTCACGATTTGTAACTCACAGTTTGATTCTACAATCAATAGTAACTATAAATCATAAGATAGAAATAAGAGAGATGGTAAGTTTTGAGCTCGGTAAAGAATTAAAGAAAGATGTTTTTCATCTTGTCACGAACGTGCGACAAAGAATCTACAAACATTACGCTATCGACATTGTTGATCCTAGTAGTATGCAGGAGGCGTGTCAAATGAACTTCGTAATAGACCTCGCTCACCATGGAGTCTCTGTGTCTCAGTGGTAGAGCATCGTAACGCGAAATCCGAAGGTCTGACGTTCGATTCCTCATGGGGATACATAATTTGTTCTTTGTTCCATGCTTGTGACAAGATGAAAAACATCTTTCTTTATTTATTTGTCATGTAAAGTAAGATACTAAGTCTCGAGAAAAACATTGTGACATGTGTTTGCTTAAATTCGAATGCCTCGGGCGTTAGTCATGAGTCACTTCATCCCATCCCGTTTCTCTTTAGGCGGTGTTCTCTGCTGCGTATTTCAAGTATTTGACTCGTTACCAAGACTCAGAGATTTCTTTAGTTCCGAACGACTTCAGATTCTTAATTGTAAAGGTGAGTAAATACATTCCCTTTTGTTGCCTGTTACTTTCCCAATCAGAACAGTAAATTGGTAAACCGACTATTTTCCCTCGCTCGCCATGCGGCGTATTCAGCTTAAATTTTGTAAGTTAATTAGGAGATGCGCCTAAATATCAACGACCTGAGAGACAGGAAGTATTCCCTCGCATCTTAGTCCAAAAATATAGGCTAATCGTTAACATTTTACTTGAAGCAGCGAGACGATTCACTTCTATCTTGAAGGGGGCGGTGAGGTATTTCCTAAAATGACTCAGATGGGGAGGCTCCGCCTATTAGACGGACCTTATCCAGGCTTCAGATTTTTTTAACGGATTGCGAAATCTGTCGGTTGGATATTCAAAAGGAGGCTTAAAAGGGGCACAAATGTTTTTTGGGAAGTGTACGAAAAGGATGCCTTTTCTACAATTGTAAAAATGAGTAAGGGGTTGGACCTGGACGGGAACCTTATCATCTAGAACTTCTTAGAGCACCCCCCGACCTTGATACCGCTAAGAGCAGTTTCCTGGCGGTATTGCATCCTTACCACTTTTTTCCTCAAACAGCTTACATTGTCGTTGAAGCCAGACCCTGCGGAAGTTGTCATACACAAGAGAAGAATTCATTCTCGCTGCCGATCTTTCACTTCGACGTAGGCGAGAGAAGGTAAGTTATTTCTGCGTTTTATCTGGATCAGATGTTTGTTGAGTCAATGCTGTCCAAACTATAAGACGTTTGAGAACTGTTGGACCTCAAATTGGAGTTTACCCGTATAGAAAGTTTACTTTGTTAGTAACCTACCCCTTCCCTCGGTTGTCGATGCCATAAGTAGCCTTTACTGAGCCTAAGTTTTAGCAAATTTTGCTTCTTACACTAATACGCTGTTGTTTCACTCCTTCGTAGTGGAAGCTGTTGTAAACGAGAAGGGAAGTTCACTCTGATTCAGACAAGAAAAGGTGAGACATCTCTGCGCTTTATTTGGACAACATATGTGCACGTTTTTCGGATATTACTGTAAAAAAATGCTGTCGAAAATTAATAGCATTTGAGAA